AAACTTACAAGTTTATCAAAAACCAAATAGAGGCCATCAAACTCCCTGGTAATTGTCAAAAATATCTTAAAGTTCCTCTTAAATAGCATAAGGGATTATGTCAATGAAGAGGAGGGGATATTATAGAAATAGAAGCACATATCAGATGCTAAAAGCTTTTGCAATGTGATGGTAATTAAGAACTCTGGAACGGGGAAGTGAACAGGAATCTTCCCTGGTTATCCAGGATAGAAGTCGTTGTTTTCCAAAGCTATCACATTCCTGTAACCTTTACCCAGTATAGAAATCTTTGTTGCCCAGGGCTTTCATATTTCTGTTACCTTTGCATTTCTCTTACCTTTGCAGCCCTATGTTATCTTACTTAATTACATGTATATGCTATGTACCTTTGTTTGCATTCCTCACATGAGTATAAAAACCCTCCAAAACTTAAACAAGGGGTCTGACTCTTTTGATTCCTGGGTCAGTCCTGCTAGTGTCAAATTAAACTTCCTCTCCTCACCTGAAAAAAGTTGCTTTTGTCTTTAATACGTGGTCAAATTATATGTATGTCAAAGAATTGCTTCAAAATAAAATTGTTATGATTTATTATCAGTAAATGTTTGATTTGTGTACCTATTTTATATACCTATATATTTGGGATAGCAGAAAATTTCTTGGCTGAAAAGGTCATAAGTGGAAAAAATGTGGAAAAAAAAACCCTATGTGAACTGGTAACAACTTAACTTCCACTGTGTGCAAAGTTCTGTTCACATGCAGCCCTGCCCTTCATACTTTGTTACTGATTGATGTCAAACATTCCGTCTTTCTATATCATATACCCATTAATATGGATTTATGGTTATTTCTATTCCTTTTATGTGCATGACTGTTTTGCCTGCATATGTGTAAGTGTTCTCATGTATGCAATGCCCACAGAGACCAGAAGAGGGTACTGGAGCCCCTGGACAGTTGTGAACTACCATGTGGGTACTGGGAACCAAACCCAGGTCCTCTTCAAGAGCAGCCAGTGCTCTTAACCACCAAGCCATCTCTCTAGCTCCTCCCTTAGCCCTTAGAATGTACTTAAGGTAGTTGTTTTAGGGTCTTTCTGTAGTAAGTCATTGGGCATGTTTTACCTTATGAGCCATATTTTTGGTTTCTTTGTGGTGACGTTTTGGTGAAATTGGATAGTGGAAACATATCTCCCATCCCCATCTTTGCAGACTGGCACTATATGGCCTAGTCCTTTACCATGGTGAAGCTTGATGATGCCTCAGGTCCTTGTGAGTGTGAATCTTGCTTGAGTATGAATGTGGCTTTCTCAATTTCCCGATATATTCAGTAGCTTCTGAGTGTCTTAATTTCTAGGTGGCATGGGAGCCCCTAGCTTCTGTCCAGGACATAGATAGCCCCTCATATGTGTCTTCCATAATCTTTCACCCCAGGCACCTGTGGCCTATTGTGAGTCCTGCTACATACCTTAACAGTGCCTAAGACTGGTCCCTGCTTGAGACCTGCATCAAGGCAAACGGAGAGCAATTGTCCTGCTACATACCTTAACAGTGCCTAAGACTGGTCCCTGCTTGAGACCTGACCCATCAAGGCAAACGGAGAGCAATGTACAGGTAGCCTTGCAATGTGCCAGGATGTTGGGAGTGAGGTTTATAGGAAGGGAACTGGGATCAGGGTGCTACTTCTAGCCGAAGATAACAGCTGGCTAGGGAAGGGTTGGGCTTGAGCAAGTACAAATGCCAGAGGCCTTTTCCTACTGTTTTGAGGGTGGTTGTTCTTTAATTGGATGTTCACTTGGTTGTTGTAAACCTTTGACGGTTTTCCAGATCTGTATTAGTTCATCCCACTTCTTAGTCTTAGCTTGATGTTTCTGTGGAGAAGTGAGAGCTTGGAGCTTCCTAGTTTGCAGATTTGCTGTGGTCATGCCTGGCATAGGCAACACATTAGAAACATAAGGACATAACAGCATCACTGGCATGAATGTGGTAGACATGAAATCTAAGAAGGCCATGGAGGAGTGACTTTTGAGCTGAAAGAGAGGAAAGATGAAGGCAGGAGAGAAACTGGAAAGAGCAAAGACCCTAGAGTGTAAAAGAGCCTGGTTTATTTTGGGTCCTGTTATAAGGAGAGTGTGACTGGGAGTAGAACACATGGGGTAGGACAAGCAGTTCGTCATCAATGGTGTTGGGGATATGAATTCATTCAGGATTTGAAGAATCCTGGAAAGACTTGGCTTTTGATTGAAAGGAGGAAGTCTGCTGTACAGATAAGGCCTGAGGCTGAAGCAAAGATACCAAGTGGGGGGAGATGTAGACACCCAGGAAAGAGGCACAGCCAGAGTTTGGGAATTGGGAGCCGCTCTTACAAGAATTAGGAGGCAGGGAGTTCAATAGCTTGTCAGATCCCTGAGGGTTTTCAGCAGTGAACCAGAGAATACCCAGGCTAAGCAGACCAAAATTGGCCCTGAGAAAAAAAGGGGGGGATACTTTGATTTTGTGGGCCCCCCGCCTCGGGAAGGAGACACATTATCCCTTTGGGCTTGACTAAGCCAGTATCTTCAAGGTCCATGGAAATTGGACCTGTTGAGAACATGAGGAAGCTGAGTCCCAAGGGACGAATGTGGCCATGAACTTGCCCTTGCCTCCTGCAGTGGTGGGAGTCAGGAACTGTTCGGTTCCTACTGATACTAAAGTGTCAGTGTTCTCAGTGTGTTTGAGGTTACACACAGAATGCCAGAGTCAGGCTCTTCTGGCCCGTGTCCTGATCCTACTGGCTCACAGTGTAAAGCTGGGTAATCGGCTGACCTTTGAACCCCAGTTTCATTATCTGTCCAACACATGTGACAATAGTCTTGAGACACTGCTTATCAGGAACTATGTACTTGACATATACAAACCACTCAGCAGTTCCTGCTCTTTGTATGTAAGTGCTTCCCCTCCAACCTTTCCAACAATGTTCCAGTTGTTGAGAAGGCTCTGATTAATACCAGGGGATCGTGCACTTGCTTTTAGGCACTCCACACAGCCACAGAATCTAACTTGGTTCTGTGTCTGAGGACGTCAGAGTCCCTTCTTCCTGCTCCCCACCCCCATCTTAGCCACGGAGATCACTTGTTTCCTGAAGGCTGTCTCAAGTTCAAAATGCAATGTCATTGGCGAAAGTGAAGGAATTGTAACAGGGATAATAGTGAGAGTTGGCATTCACACTTCATAGGCCTTAAGGCTGGGCTGCAACTGCCAGGGTGACACAAAGGCCTTACAGGTGAAAGCGCCTTGGGCAAGGTTGGGAGACAGAAAAAATGTTTCTTAATGTTTTCGGGTAGGCAGAAAAGAGTGACTCATTTTGGTTACAATGAAGAACTTGATGTGGGAAGACGGATGTAAGAAAATAGAGTTTAGTTAGAGGCTAGATCATTAGTCAATACCACAGAGGAGATTTGATCTTTACTTTGGAGGTGAACTGAAGCTGTGGCTTCCTCTAAGAAAAGGCTACCCTCAAAGCTGGGCTCCAGGAGGGTCATTCTGGTGGCCTCAGCATGGATGAGGAGCCCGAGTGCAGCTCCGAACCATCATAGGCTACCGAATCCAGCTGGACTTGGACTGTGGAGGGGAGTGGAAAGTGGTGGAATCAGCACCTTTAGATGACCGACTAGAAAAGACAAGGGAAAGGGAGGACCCAGAAAGCCAGTTTGGGCAACTGGGTAGTGGAGAAGAAGACGGGGGTAAATAGGTCTGGGGACACAAAGGTGTGTGCAGTCTCTCTGGCTGCTGCTCACGGTGCGGGGAGGTGGCATCTGCACGGGCAGCTGGCTGTGTCACCCTGACTGACAGAAAGGACGGGATTGAAGCTGGGTATTTGGGGCTCTGAGTTTAGTTTATTGAGGGAGACAGATGGAAGACGGAGAGTAGGGCAGGGACTTCGGCTGCTACTGGCCCCTCAGTACACATGTGCTCCAACCTAGCCTCGGCACAGACTTGACCCTGCTCTCTGTGCTCACCCACACTTCCTCGCAATTGACTTTCTTGGCTTGACTTAGCGGCATCATTTTATGGAACTTGGAAACCAGGCCTCACATCTTCAACTAAGAAAATTATACACTCCAATGAGCTGGAAAGGAGTTTTTGGAATAATTCTCTTGAAAAATATGTGGGATTTTTTTTTTTTTTTTGCCTTGAAATGATCTTCCTGAAATTATCCCCTTTCTCTCTTTATAAACATTAAAAAGAAGGAATTGGAGCTTCATTCTTTGAATCTCTATTCAGGGGCCTCCCTTTCTGCCACTCAGGAAAGCAAATCATCATTTCTGAGAAAGAAGAGGAAGGTGTTGGCTCAGTTCCCTTTAACATGGTCCTGCACCATGAATCTCCCGCCTTTTGGACATTCCTGACCAAATCTGAGATTTGCTGGAATATCGTATTTCCTGGAGTGGGGAATTAGAGAGAGGCAGATCCAGGAGACATGGTCAGAGGAAGTGAGGAAAGCTGGAGGGAGAGAGAGTTAAAAAGACAGAAAGAAGTAAGGAAGAGAAGGGCTGGAGGGAGAAGGAGGAGGAGAGAGGCTTCCAGAGTGGACGTGATACAGAGTGAAAGGTGGGGCACAAAAGACTCAGAGATGCCCCTGGAAGTCAGAGAGAAGTAGAAGAGAGACGGAGGAAACAGTCCTCAGAGGGAGGACAGAGACTAAGTGGGTCTGTTTACCTGTGTGAACAGGAGTATGGCATTTGTACACTTGATGGCACTATGAGGAAAGTGCCTCTTTCCTAGTGTGAAGTATTGCTGACCTGTGATACATGGGGAGGGCACTGCAGGTTTAGCAGACAGGCAGCTGAAGTGGGGGTGTCAGCTCCGTCGGCTCCTGCTGTGCTACCTTGGGGACTTGATTTAATTTTTTGGAGCTGGTCTGTTTTCATCTGAGGAACTGAGTAACTGTCTAAGTCAGAGGTGCTTTGGCGCCTGCATGAGGCATTCCCTGGCCATAGCTGGTATTACTCAACCTTGACTCTGGGGCTCAACTATAAATCCTTCAATGATCTCAGAAATGACTGGCACTGACCCTGGAGATCTGGGGTGAAAACCTGCCCAGTGGGTCCCTGGAAAGAGAAAATCTGCAGAAGGAAGGCTTCTTGGGTGGGAGAGCTCCCGACAAGGTAAGCGCAGGGTAAGCGCAGTAGGAGGGGATTGGTGTACTCACTGGCTTCCTTGCCTTAGGTGTGACCTTGAGCCTATTCAGGGCGTCTGCTATGTGGCTGGGGGCTGGATTCCATACTCCGTGAGAAACTCTGAGCTTTTATCTTTGTAGTTCTGAGTCTGTGATTATTAGCAGGTGACCTCAGAGCGGGAGAGGAGGGTGTCCCCAGTTCCCCCATCCTCCTGCCAAGAGTGCGGCAGGAACAGAGGCCACTGCCTCTGAAGGCTCTGTCACAAAGTGCACGGTGGTTGGTTACCGGTTACCACATAAGCCAAGTCCTTGATCTGCATGTTTGAGGAAACCCTTTGTTCCTTTCAAGTCTCTTTTCTCTCAGCTGGCTGGGACTGGTGCAGTCAGATTTTTCTTTCTTCCTTTTCTTTATGGATTTTTAAAAATAACTGGCTCGTAAGTTCAGACACTGCTCCAGAATTGGATTCTTCAGGGCCAGGGACTTCTGCATCCCTTTAACCCCACAAAGACCGGGAAAAAGGGAGAATCTAAAGGCTAATAACATTACAGGAAGACATGAATAACTGCCCAAGAAAGAGACTGACTGGCTCAGGGGCCAGCAAAGTGAAGTGAAACTAAAGGGTATAGTGGACATTCTGTCCACAACTATGGAAGCAAGCAAGAAATTGGTAGACACAACTGGTGAATAAATTCACCATTTAGACTACTAAGATGAATGGTTTGTTGGGTATCCTGCAAGAGAACAGCAGGCTAGAGAATAACTAGAGTCCCGCCTACAATGGAAAATAATATTAAGGGGGAGTGTCTCCACCTGTGAGGAGTACTTCCATGATTAGGGTGAGTTTCTTGTGTGCAATATCCATACATGTTAATGCTATGTAAAAGAGTATAACCCAGCTTAGCTGGTGTACAGTTTGAGAGGTTAATGTGAACGCCATGCTCATAATTTCCAGTTCTATAATCTTTGCCTTGCAAATCAGGGTCATGCAAATAAGGGCAGCTCATCACAGTTCCATTCTGGTCAAAGGTTCAGGTCACAGGGCACTGTATTACAGTTCTGTGCTATACAACAGTACAAGGATAGCAGTCTGGGATTCCTGGAACATGTTTGTGAAGATTCCTTAATTGGGAACCAGCTCCATTTTCTGGTCTCCTATGAATGGCCTTCCTTCCACAAAAGGTATAGACAGAATATTGGGGATTCTTAATCCTCTTCATCTCTCACCACAGATTTATACCTCTTATAGATTCTTGATCTATACCTGTGTTCAGCTCCCACTCCCCTCACTAGTAAGGCAGACATTGAGAGCAGTGCTCATGTGGTGTATTGATAGCCGCATCCCAGGTACCTCACAAATAAATATGTGTTGGATGAAGGGAGGAAGAGGTGGAAGACAGGAGACTGGAAGTCTCCACACCTTTGTTGTGATGTGATTGGGTAGATGCCTAACCTCTCCCACATACAGAATATCAGCAAATTTTTACCATGGACAAGTTGAGCTCAATCAGCTGCCCAGCGAATGAATGACAGAGTTAGCATTTGAACCCAGGTCTCCAGAGTTCATTTGTCCTGTAAAAGGGACTCCCATTTAATGTTTGCTGGCTCATTCTACCCAAAGGCAACAGCTGCCTGGCCAGAAGGTCCACTTATAACCTGCTAGTGCCTGCGTGTCCTGTTCAAGGTCGGAGCTGTTAGGGGACAATGTAAAACTCACTTTTAATTCACAACTTTCTAGCTTTGTCCATTTAAGTGAAAACTTTCATGTTATTTAAACCCAAATCCCCCATCTACTTCAATGGAAGCTTTGAATTCATGTGGAAGGTCAAAAGTGAGTTTTTTTTTTTTGAAGTACTGGGGCCTGATGGAAATCACATTAGCATATTCATTATCATCAGGGTTCTTTGAATGTGGCTTTTAGCTGTTCCCTTAAAATGATTGGAGGACTGTGGCTCCTTTTTGCTCAGAAATTCCTGGTCTGGAAAAAGACTGGCTGACTCCTGGGTGCTGCATCCCTCCTTCCAAAAGGCAGCAGTAGGCACATATTGCATAAGGCAGTGATAGATGACATCCTCTAGGAGTCTCCGTAATAATACTGAGGCTTATCGTCAGGGTCTGGAAGACACCCTTCTCCTAGTCACCAAGACTGTTGTGACAGAACCCACAAAAGATGTCCTTCTAAGGAGGTTAGACCCTGTGGGTTCGAGGACTCTGGGTGAGGCAAAGAGTCAGGATTGGGCTTGGGTTGTCAAGGTGGTGGTTCAGATCTAGTAAGTGCCAGGATCATCTGGGGGAGGATTTAACAACTCTAGCATCTAGCACTTTTCATCAGACCATTTGGGTCCAACACTTAGTGATGAGTGGGAGGGATAACTGGGTAGGAAAGATTTTCAGTGTCCCAAACAATGCCTTCCACATACATATAAGTGTGCGCTCATGGTCATTGTAGACGTGGTCAGCAGTAGTCAGGCCCTCCCTTGGGAAGGTAGAGTCAATGGAGCCTATTGGCCAAAGGGACGTTGGAGCAGGAGACAGGGCAGGTAGGGATGGTGCCCGTGTCCTGATTTCCTTAGTAGAATTATGGAATTGATGTTTCCTACAGAGAGGTAGCCTGTGGCATCATTAGGAGTGAGTGTTGAAAGGTGAGATGTGATGTGATTGTGACACACAAATGGAGCTGTCAAGTCTGCCTCATGTCTGCAGCACAGGGGAAAGTACTGGCTCAGAGTGACCCCCAGTGGTGGGGAGACCATGCAGGGTACCATCTGGAGAGAAGCATACCAGGGACTGAGCACGGGTTCTGGTGTTAAAAGACTAGACCGGCTCTGTCTCCTGGGCCTTCTTACCTGTGGACTGTGGGAGGGAACGTCCTAGTGTTCTGACCCTTTTGTTTGCCGCTTCCATTCTTTAGTTACCTTAAAGTCAGAGGAGAGGGCTGAGCCAGCTTCTTTCAATCACAAAGGGCAGACCCTTCTTAGCTGATCTTGGCTACAGGGGACATTGTAAAGGAACTTACAAGGATTCATGGGTGGGAATTCTGACCATGCATCACAGAACACAGTTGAGTCCTTCAAAGACTTTTTAAGACATAGTGTTCAGGGACTGAGTTAGGTGAGCCCTGCTCAGGATCAGGGCTGGTCTTCATCTCCTTTTCTCTGTGCCCTCTCTCTCCCAAGGTTTTGGCTGACTCATTACCCCTGGGCCTCCTTGCCATTTTAAATGACATAAACTCAAGGGTCTTTCATTTTTTATGCTGTTCTGTGACTTTTCCTGGGGAAATATGAACAAAGGTCTATTAAGTCCAGATGGGGTACCAACAGCAAAGAAACAGTTCCACCCAACAAGTATAGCTTGGTAAAGCACTAAGTTTATTGGGGTTACGTACAGAGCATGAGTGACTCCAAGGCAGATGGCCAGGATAGCATGGGTGGTGACTCACAAAAGCCACATCCCTGGAGCTCCCTGTGTGATCGGCAGGACGTCTCTTCCCTTTGTGGTCTTGGCCAGGGGTCTTGTGAATCTTACAACTTTTTTGAGCTTCCTGAGCCTGGTAAGTTTCTGTACTTTTTTGAGTCTAATGAGACTTCCTTCTCCCTCAAGTAGGGAAAGTTTCAACTAGGAGGAAATAGGCACACAGCACAGGCACTATCCCAACTTTCTGTGATCCACATTCAAACTGGTAACTCCCATTGCTGATGAGAGGTTTAGTTAATTTCTCTAAAATTCCCTGTTGGGTAGAACTTGTACATCAGGTTATGATCGTTGACAGCCCTCAAGTCAGGTGACTTCTGCTCCAACCATACACACACACACACACGTGTGTGTGTGTGTGTGTGTGTGTGTGTGTAATATGAATGCATGTCTGTATATTATACACAGTACAAAGTCAACAATGATAATACCAGCCTTACATATTGATTATGGTAGACTCTGGATTAGCTATTCTGAGTTGCAGCTGAAGTCCAGCCACTTTCTAACTCTGTTAATTGGGGCAGCTTGCTCAATCTAACTGTAACACATCTCTACATTGATAAATTGGAAATAATACTGTTAGGGTGGTGTGGAGTACGTAAGTCAATAAATAATGCTTATAGCACAGAATTTAATTAGAGCTCAAAAATTGCCAGTCACTTTGTCATTATTACTCCTGGTGGAACAGTTTGTCTGCATTGTATTAGGTTTTTGAAGGCACAGTCTCATTTGATTTTGAACAAAATCCTAATTAAGTCTTTTTTTCCAGTCTTACCCCACAGATGTGAAAATGGAGGTGTGGCAGAGTCATACCTAAGGTCTTTAGGCTAACATAGGCTGGAGCTAGGATTCAAACACTAGTTTTCAGGCCTGGAAAGATGGCTTAAGAGTACCGGTGGCTCTTGTAGACAACTCAGGCTCAATTCCCAGCATCAACACGGCAGCTAACAACCATCTGTAACTCCAGTTCCAAGGGGAATTTGATGCTATTGGCTCACTTTTGTGGGCACTGCACACTCATATACATAAAATTAAAAATAATAAATAAAATATTTTTAAAAAACCCACAGGTTTGTCTGGCTCCAGAACTGGGACTCAGTCACTGTGCCCCACACAGGGTATCTATGCATAAATGCTTACCTTGAGTCACTTTCTCAGTGAAGGTGTGAATAGGTACTCCTGTCAGTGGTTGTGCTCACCTTGACCATCCCCCAGCTCTCAGGTGCTATTGGAGATGGGACTATGCCTCAGAAAGAAAACATAATAATGAAGGAAAGACTATTTGATGACTGTGGAGAATGTAGTAGGGAGGGACAAGCCAATTAGTGAGACATGTCCACTAGGAATGTGCTTGGCTTTTAGTGACCAAACAAAATTCTCAGCAGTAGACTGCATCTCTAGTTTTTCCTCAATGTCCACTTCTTCCTTAGTCAATAGAATTCTGAGCTGAGCATGTGACATCCTTGAATAACTATTAGTTTCTACTTTCCTTTCCAATACTGTAGGCATGGCTGTCCTAG